AGTTTGAGGTGATTTACTGAAAGCTGCGTGAGCTCCCTCAGCTACAGCATCCTCCTGGAATTCTGCAGTCAGCCAGTGAGCTGCACCAGCCCCCACTCCTTCCCTTCACTGCTTCCCAAGACAAACTTGCCAGCTGATAAGTGCAGTGTGTGTTCCTTATTCTTGACATGTGACTTACAGCAGCTAATGTTATGCTTGGCCCCATCTTTCTGAGTCATCCAGGCTATTGCAGTAATGTTTTTCTGGTTTGTGGTTGGGTTTTTTCTCAGCTCACTGAKTTTTGAGTCATTCCTACTGATCAGTTCCTATCTTGCTGTCTTGCCCAAGAGTATTCTACCACAAATTACCAACTTTACAATGTTTATTCGTCCTTACAGCTACACATCTCCACCCATCTGGAGGACTGATGGGGTTCCAGAAAAGTTCTAATGTCTGCATTGCAAAAAACACCACCAACAAACATCTCTAGAAGCACTGAGGAAGCACCATCTATCCCCAGCTCAGCCTGCCTCGGGTAATTTGATTGTAGGAGCTCTAAGTAAACATTTGATACATGATTCTGTAGAGCCTGCACGCTGAAAAACAGGAATTCCACAGGACTGGCCACCAGGAAGATGCACAACCTTCAACAGGGATGGTGAAACAGGAGGTTGGACAGTCAAAGCTTCTCTTTATACTGCTGTAAATTCAAACCTCTTCTCACATCTTCTCTTTGGTTGTTAAATACACGGACATGTTAATTACACAATATGGGATTATGTTCCCATGCCTCGTTGCCTCAGGGGAAGTATACAAATTACAAATAAGCAAATACATGGATTTCTTGACTTCCAAGGGATTTTTTTAAGATTAACTACTCAACTCTTAATTACGCTGACACTGGCTGGCTAATGAATATCAAGCGTGAGGCAACACCCTTGGCTGGTAAGATTCACAATGGAAAAAAGGGAATTTTGTCCCAGGTAGGAGAAGGGCTYATGGATCTGGCATCTTACCATGAAGATTTCCCATCTGGGATAGAGTCACATAGTCTGTACCTATATCTGAACTTTCGCATTTTACTGTAGAATCACTGTACAGGAAGGTATGAAATCCAATGGCTTTGCTCTGTGCAAGCAAAGGGTCCAGGTGAAACAGGTCCTACTGCACAGGCACATTTCCCCCTGTCAGAGCTGGTGAATGTGAAAACATCATTCCTCCTCCTCCTAGAAGATTTATTTTATCTGTGAGGGACATTTCTGTTCCTGCATCATCCAAGTAGATTGCATTTCAGTAGCCTCCACTTCAGTCCCCAGACTAGGACCACGCAATACAGAGCAAAGTCTTACAAATAATTTCAAAGCAACAGAACTCTGCATACTCTGAACCCCAAGGAATGGCTGTGGCCTGTGGTGACAGACCCATGGAGATTTTTCATGCAAGGAGCCTCCATGCCACGAACAGCTTCAGAGACTCAAGCTGCACTACCACTGTGTTCAAGCTAGCAGGAGGGGGGGATAAACACAGCATCCATGTGGCACTCRCCCTGTGAGCCACCAAGTAAAATAYCAAACGCATTCCCTTGCTCATATCARCTTTTACATTACTTTTGGGAATACAGGCTTACTCAGAAATCTGATACAGAGGAGCCAGACCATGCTGGAGCCACAGCACCTCCCSCCAGATGAATTCAGGATAGTTATGTAGGTGATAAATTCTGCTCTCACAGAATTTGTAGAGAGCAGCAGGGTTTGGGGACCCATCATTTGTATACTTGCCCCCACAGAGGCCYTTAGCCCAGCTAGCTGAAAAAACACAATGTTTATGGAGTGTATTCAACAGCTGAGCCACTTCTCCATTGTATGAAACAATGCTAATAGTTCTCCCACCTTTGCCTAATTATTTTTTTCCTCTTTCCTGCTTTCCTTTTGTTTTGACTCCTTGCCCTTTCTGTCTGTCTGCTTCATCTTGATGGGACTTTCATTTCTTTTTTACCCCACAAYTCTGTCTTCAATACCATCTTCTTGGATGATCTACACAGAAAAACAGTCATCTCCTGATTACTGTTGGATCCTTATTGTTTCACACAGGAAGAGCCTGTTTATAGCCTGGAGCCTGCAAGGAATTTGAAATGCCTTCTCCTTCCATTTGGAGGGCAAGCAGCTGAAGAGAGCAGGAATCCTGCCTCCCCTCACAAATATCTTGGCATTCCAGATATCAACCTTACCTTGAGATCCTGCAGCCCAGCAAATGTGCTATCATATATCCCAGTGTTTGGCCAGCCTATGCAATCTGATAGGCCACCTCTGCCGAAGGGGGTGATTAACATCTAAGAAGGGTTGGGAGGTGACCCTCCACACAGCCATGATATATTTTTGGAAGAGCAAGGCAAAGTCAGAAGGTCTTACTAAACTCTTTGATCACTTAAGCTTCTGGTTACCAAATAACCACCAGTATCCTTTATGGAAAGGCATTTATTCTTAGCTGCACGAATTTCCATCCCCAYTTCGGCAACATTAGTGTCTACTCCTGAGCTGCATCTTTCCTCCCAGCTACCCCATCGTCCCTCAGCAGCTCCAGTAACCCATTCCCCAAATGCTCTCCTTTTCCTGGCTGAAAGCATATCGTGCATCTTRCTTGCTGCACCCTTCTCTCACCTTCCACAACATCCCAATCACTTGACACGAGTAACCAGTAGGCCACACTTCGAAAACTTCCACTTCTAAGACCTCCACACAAAGAAGCAAGATAATCTACTTAATTCATGGATTTTTCATAGCTTCTCTCATTCCCCTGAGAGTTGTACAGTTGTTACAGTCACATCTGCTGCTGCTAACTAGACTCATTTTTAGCAAAGCACATCAGGAGCTAAAGAAACCCAAGTCTGGTAACATTGTAATACCACCAGAAGTACTCCCCCACTTTCATAAACTTCATGCTCCGCTTCTTTTCTCTATTTCCCTCTTTCTTCTCCTCCTTTTCCTTTCTGCTGTCATGGTGAACAGTTTCACCAGGAGCAGCTCAGCTGGTCGCTCACATCCCCTCCCTGCTGCACAAAGAGCAGAGGTGGCTGCTCTGGGTGCCTCAGAAGAGGACCAGCAAATATCAGCCCCCTTAAGGGATGCCCCTTAGGATATCCATGGAGAAACAGGGGCCAAGGGCATGACTCCATAAAGACATGGATATCTCACACCAATCCATAGCACGTGTATCCATCTGAAAATGGGACTCAACACCTTGCTGTCTTTCCTGGCCTGCATACAAAATGCAGGGGGGTTTTGTCAGAAARCACTCCAGAAAAAAAAATATACTAAATCAGGCTGGTGGTGATATGGCCCAGTAGGTTGATAATTAGGACATTTTACTAAAATATAAGGGGGAAAAACAAGAAAAATCAAGTTCAATGCTTTCTCCATTTAACATCAAGTGTCTTGGACCAAGGACTCTGCCCTTCAGGCTGGGGCACAATCTAGAATGAAATTCAGTCAAATCTCAAGTGGAAGCTCCTTAAAATTTCAAAGAAAAACTGGTATAAGATCTAGCCCAGACAGAGRGAGAGGCAGAGGGATCCCAGCTGACTGAAGCAAGAACCCAATACCAACTTCCTCAGGTTGTTACAAGATACAGACTTTGGGTGTATTACTGACAGATACCAGAGACTTCCATGGTGAGGTGGCACCAGCAGCACTGGGAATCTAAGTACTGCTYTCAAAGGGCTAACAGGGGATGCCAGACAGCAGACTGGTGCACAAACACCCTTATGTTCCCTGGCTTAACTCTTAGAAAGTTTAAATGCAGTGCAATAAATTGTGAAGGCTTGGAAACAAGATACAAAGGAGGTTTTCAATTAGACAGTACAGGCAAAAAGTCAGGATTTAGAGGAAAAATTRGTGAGATTTTACAGGTTCATATGCAAGACAGAGCTTGGATATAGTAAAAGGTGCGGTAAGGTCAGTGTCACTGTCAGGGAGGAGAGTGGAAGTGTTGGGGCTGAAGAAGAGTGGTGGTCTTGGGAGAAGGCCCAGGTTTCCCACACAGACTTCCAGATGTTGACTGGGGGTGATGGAAGACTGGAGAAAGGGTGAGGCATGAAAACAAAGAGATGCTAGGACAAGATGTTGAGCAGAAACAAAAGAAAGCAAAAGAGAACARTTCAAAAGCACAGAAAAGATCAAAGTTGGTGGGAAAAAAGTAAGAGGCTCCTAAAGGTGACTGGGGCAACACTAGATATTCCTGTGAGAAGAGCCTTGGGACTATGATACTGAAAATAAACTTTGAGGTATCCCAGCAAATAYTGGAGAGAAAGAACTTGGCATAGCTCATGTGAGTAGAGGGAATATGGAAGGCGCTTGTTCCATTCTGYAAGTTTGCAGCATGTGGAAGTGATTACAGGGATGATTGCAAGAGTAGTGCTATACAAGAGACCTGGGATAATAACATTCAATGAATAACAGAGTAGAACTGTAACCTAAGAAAAAAAATGCCAAGAGCTGCATAAGCCTATTTTCTGAATAAGTAGAACAGCAAGTAAAATTGAAACCTTTCATTGATTTCACTGCAAGTTTCTGTTGTTAATGATGATAATTCCTTCCTCTAGAGAAGTCCCTTGTTTCACTTTTAATAATTTTGAACATTTAGACAAGTAAAGGTGGAGCCAAATCTTCAACCATGAAAAAAAAATGGACTTTGACCCCAGGTTCTGTAGTAAAAAATTTTAGAAGTTTTTCACCTGCAAGGAACAAGGAACTCTGGCATCATGGATTTTCTGTCCAAATCAGGAAGAAGGACACCAAGGTTAAGATCCTTTAAAAAAAAAAAAAAAAAAAAAAAAAAAAAAAAAAAAAAAAAAAAAGAAAAAAAAAGAAAGAAAGTAAAGTAAAAATGAAGCATTCTTACACATCTCAATTTTACACTCAAAAAGAAAATTCTCTTTCCAGCAATTCAGGTTTCCTTTTTCTTCTGTAGTGGCAAGATACTGTACATCRGTTTGGCACCAGTTACAGGCTTCAAAAATTACATACCTGCTCAGTAGATGCTGAGGGTTTTATGTTCAGGGGCCCTTGGATCAAACCCATCAAGGGGACTCTCCCAAGTGTATCACTGCAAGTTGCTTGCCTGTAAAAAAAAAAAAATAAATAAATTAAAACCACCTTTAATAATTGCTGTGGGCCCACAGGTACGCCTGCCCTAGAGGTAAGGTAGCAGTACCATGTTGGAAAATAATACCTTTTCTTAGTGATAATTAAGGTTTGTACCAGAACTCCTTAGGTGCTTAGTACCCCAAGAGAGAGAAATGTTATTACTGGGAAGGAAAAAGACCGAAAAAGCAAACAAAAAAAAAAAAACACCCTGGGCATTCCTTCCCAACTCTATTGTTTATAGCTCTGAGAACTAACATCCTGCAATCCCTTCACATGCCTTATACTTCCAGCTCTGCTGGGTATGGGAAAGCCACAGCGAGCCCAATCCTGCAAAGCCCGATTGTGACCCAAAATCCCAAAAGCTGCGGGTGCTGCTGTGCCCATGCTGTGGATATACCTTGAGATCCTCCCGCCCTCGCCTCGTCCCAGGTCAGGAGCTYTCCTTTGCTACCTTGCAGTGTCCTGGAGCCCCGGCATGGTCGCTGACCATCCGGCCTCCCACGCTCTGCAGGGTTTTGTGCAGGGCAGCTCAGCAGCTCACCCCAGCCGTGGCATTTTATCAGCACCGACACGATAAGGACGCGCTAAAAGTCAACGAGGTGCCACTGACAAGGACTGAAGCCGGGCTCACGCTTCCCCACGGGCCACGTGTGCCCTGACACTGAGCAGCCCAGGCTCCTTCTGGCCCCTTGGAGGGAGGTACGCAGGCTCCTGTCCATCCATCCAGCCCATCTCCACCGGGAGCTGGCACAGCACCAGCCCTGCAGAGWGCACATGCTTTCTTATGAACCTCCCATGGATTCCCCAGTGAGCATTTAAGAGATTTTTTGTTGCTTAAACATGCTGATGGACTTGTACCCTGGTGGTTTCATGCCTGCCCACCATTCCCTCCCAGACAGAAAAGATCTGGTACTTGGAGTGACTGCTTTCCCAGGCAAACACTCACACATRCCCRCAGCAGAGCCCCCAGCAGCATGCCTGGCATGCACCCCACAGAGATTAGCCCCCTGCTCAGCAAGCCCCAAGGCCTGGGAAACCTGCTGTGACACACAGCTTGATTAGGAACTTGAGCCTTTTTCCACCAGATTTTCACTGGAAGGTGAAGAAGCTCACAAGAAATTTATTTCTTTTGTGCATCCACACAGTCCCTGAGCTGAGTCCCGCACAAAAAGAGGAGGCTTAACCATGTCACAGGGCAATATACACTGCTGGAGCAAAAACATCCTGGATCCATCCTTGCCCTGGTGATCACTAACTTCACATGGCAACAGCAGAGACAGCCTAAACATCCTCAGACTGATCAGAGCATTTCAAAATAACCTGAAAATCAGGAATCTGGACCCAAACATACACCAAGGATGCCCCCACTGCCTGGGCTACCGCAGCTGAGGTGCAGTGGCTCAAGTAACACTACCCTGGAAAGCAACCAACTCACCACAGCACTGCCAGCAGACMTAACACTCAGCAAACTCCCACAACCACTGCAAAGAGCTAAAGAACTCCCTTATATTCCCATGGGAGGCAGCTCTTCCCTTCCCCAGCTGGTGCCAATGAAGTCCTTATGAGCAGCCTCAGCACGGGCACCCAGGTCTGAAAAGGAATCTTCAGTTCACCTCCAGGGAATCCCCACCTGTGCAAGGCTGAGCTGCACTGAGTGTTTAACCAGCCCAGTTGTGTGACCCTCTGGCACCCTAAATTTTCATTCATAGAGAAAAGGGAGTTGCTTTTTCGTGGTGTATGCTTGCTGGAAAACACCTTCTGTTTCCCATCTTTCATAAAGACATCAGGGGCAAAAAGAGTGTCTGTCTACTCCCTGAGATCCAGTCCAAAACACACCCTGCAGGCAGCAGCAGCACAGGCAGATCCTCCTGCTCRCTCCCAGGACAGCAGGCATGCAGGGTTTAGGGGTGAGAGCTTGGTGTGGCCAGGCCAGCCCTCCCCTTGCCATACCAAGCTTGTGTTGGCAGGCACCACTTCCCGTGCTGGGCAAAACACATCCGAGGCTCCCAGGAGACTGAAACACTCAGGGATATCGCTAAAGGGAGATGTTTCTTTTCCAGAAGAAACAGATTTCCAGCATGGGAACTCTGTCACACACTTAGATGTGGACGCTGACGTGTTTATATTTGCACAGGGGGAAGAGGYTGTGGCAGTAATGTGTGCTGCTGTGAAGATGTGAGCAACAGAGACTGTGTGCTGGAAAGGCCCTGCTCAAATATCTTACAGATGCCCTTTCAGCTTCATTTGAAATGATTTCTGCATTGTCTGTAATTGCTGTTTCTCTCTCCATCCCCACCCCTCTCTCTGGTTTCTGACAGGCACCCTCAGCTCCTGATTCCTCTGTGCCATCAGTCCTCAAGCGTTTTGGTCAAGAGGCAAGAAAGCTCCTCATGGATACACAGTTACCCCATGGAGGTGGCTCTCGGTCTGCTCCCAGCCCCAGACAGGAGCAGCGAGTTCACCAGTCTGGCAGGCTTCCCCCCAGCATTTTCACAAGCACTTGCTTACCTTGTTTGAGCTTCAGCAAGTTCAGTTTGGGGTGAAGGGTAGGTCAGCTCTTATCTCGTATCTACACGCGCAAATGTAACCCTTACCAGTTCCCTTCACAGCTCCCACAGTTCCTGCCCGGCAACACAGCCAGGACCACGCTCTCCCCCTCTGCTGAGGCCTTTCGGTGGCAGGCAAGCAGGGCAGAGAGGCACAAAGGTTTCCTAGGGACCCCCCAGCCCTGAGGAAAATTCTCAAGGTCTCTGAGCTTTCTCCTCCTCAGCCTTTAGCRCAGGTGAAGGAGCAGAGCCACAGTTCCCCCTGCCCTGGTCTGGGCTAGTGAGAGAAACTCTGGAGTGATGCTCAGGGATGACAGGAGCTGGATGAAACCCCCAAACAGGATCCCACAATGCCCTGTGAGATTTAGAGATTTCAAAAATCCTCCCTGTCTGCCTTCTCCTACAGGAAAATGTTTTTAGTGCAGCTGAGGTGGATTCAAGGGCTTGAGCTACTGGATCTTGCAGTTTGTTTAGGCGAATATCACTTTTGTCAATTTTCCAAATGTCTGTTCACACACAGACTGTCTCAGCATCCTGCCAGGGATTCTCCAAACATTCATCTATGGAGAAWTTTTCTGGAAACCTGTGCCTGCATCCCTGTCTTGCCTTCTGACCATTTTAAGACCAAACCCATAAACACAAGCCCAAGGAGATGGAAGTGTGGAAGATTGCATTCTCTAAAGCCTCACAGATGTGTGACTTAGGATGCCCTTCTCAGACCACAATCACATCATCCTGACCACAGCACACCACCCTCAGCTCCAAGTCCAAACCAGCAAATCGTATCTATATCCCTCACTGCTGGAGAGTGCCACAGGACAAAGGCAGCCAAACTGAGTGGGGGTGGTGTGGGAAGGGAACGGTGGAGCAGGCAGAGACAGTTGGTCCCGTGTGTTTTCTTTCCTTAAAGATAAAAATTTACCCCAGTCAAATGAAAAACTAGGAACAATGTAGGAATTTTCAAGAGGCCYGAGCTGCCACCTGACTCAGCGTCTAGGCAGGATATTGATTAGCAAGGCCATTCTTTATTCCTCTGCTATTGTTCCAGAGCGGCCTCCCTCATGACAGCARCAGCGTGGGAACACAGCAGCTTTGGTGTTAAAAAGTGATTTTATCACTGAGCTCAGGAGAGRGGTCTCTGGGAACCAGAGATGATTGTGTCTGATAGCCAAGGAGTGCATTCAAACCAAGAMCCTTTTTCTGGGGTCTCTAAGGTCCTGAGGCACACCAACACCATGCAGCACATCCYCAGTGTTTCTACTGAGCTCTATTCAGGTTCTGGTGAGTTCAGGGAGGTGCAGGAAGAAAACACCTCTGCTGCTAAAAATTCTTGGATTTCTCCTTGAGCTGCTCTAGCTGCTGTGATGACTCTTCTTACCAGACCTTGGTTTAAACAAGCCAGGTTGGGTTCTGTGACCCATGTGGCTCAGCACAGAGAACAGGCTCACCACCAATGTCCTTATCCCTCCTTCTGAGCAGGTTTTTTTGCCAGTTTTTTTGCAGGTTTGGGTTTTTGGTTTTTTGTTTGTTTGTTTGTTTGTTTTGTTGGGTTTTTTTTTTTTGCAGGTTGTGTTCCAGCCTGCATTAACTACCACAATGATGTCAGTATGTGAGGGCATCTCCTTGTTCAAGATACCGAGCAACTGTTGGGTGTTGTCTATCACTGCCACTCAAAGCATCCAGGGGCCTGCAGCTGGCCAATGAGCCAACACAAGTCCCTTCCAAGTGAACTGACAGACACTTAAAAGGCTTCCTGGTAGCTCCAGGCAGGAAGAAAGAAAATMTTTGTTTTCTTGGTAATTCTCAGTGTGTTAAAAAGCAAAATGCTTCAGTGCTTGAACACTTCTGGCTTGGTTGAGTAGAGGACAACAGGGACCAAGAACAAGCCAGAATATTTCTGGCTGCCCATAGAGCCATACAGCTGGCTTCTGATTTTATATTCTTTGTAGGTTTGTTCTTCAAAAAAATCTCATCTGTAATCACCTCATATACACTTATAGGTGGTCTTTATTTTCACCTACTCTTAAGAGAAAATGAAAAAATGGAAGTCCTTCAGGTACTGACRGGACAAACGTTAATTCACTTCAAAGACACCCCAAAGGAGAGGGCACAGTGCACTAAAGAGTGGATCTCCAGACACAGCACATGCTCTTTGCAGACACCAGATATTTATTCCAGCACCTAGAAATGCTCTKCAAGATTGCTTCATGTGTCTGTGTAAGAATACACAGTTTGGTAAGAGTGTGACTGCATCACTTTCTCTGCAGGCTTTCATGCTCCAGTTTTATTCTTTACACGATTTTTTCACCTTCCCAAAGTTGAAAAGCAGTCAGAAATCAGCCAAGATTCTCCTCCTCCAATCTGTGACAAGTGGACAACCAAGCTAAACTTAGATGTTTAATAGCTGATGGCTTCTCTTCTACAAAAA